CTAAAGACATTTTAGGGCAAATTAAAAAAAAAACATGCAAATTAATGGTAATATCATGAAGTTTACATAGACAAGAGTTTTTATGGAGGTGCCGTGATGCTTAAGGCTTAAGTCAAATCAGCCTTGCCCTTTTTGTAACTAATTTGATTTACAGTACTAAAGCAATGTTTTGTGACCTTTGACATAAATATATTGTTGTAAAGTGGACTTTTATTTTCTTTTCATTCTCCACATAGCATATGTTTCTTTAAAAACATATAAAGGGTAAAATAAAGTCATCTTTTCACTTTTGGGTTAAGGATAATGTAAAGATAATTGTTACTCTCTTAAATGGTTAGAGATCATATCTGCTTTGCTAGAGTGTTATCTAGGTAGACAGGATTGTCAAACTGATCTGCAATACACATTTATGTAGGAGAAATTCCTATTGTCTTTAATGAAGCTTACTAACAATACTATAGATTTGCAAATAAGCTCCACTGAAAGTGGAGAATTCACAAAAAAGGCAGTGAAAATCTTGTTTAAATTAAGGTAATAGAGTTCAATGTTCCAAATGACTTGGATGGAGGATCATGTTATTCCAATCTTTAAATATACTGAGAAATTCAAAGAATGTTTTCTTGACATAGATTGGAACATATATAGCAACAAATCTAAAACTACAAATGGAGCTGCAGCTTATTCTGGTTGAATTCCATCTGGGAAACATATACAAAACATAAATTGCTGCAAAAATAGAGTATTTTGGTGTATAATGTTACATCTCAGGATCAAATAGATTTTAATGTTTTCTTGGTTCTTAACTAGGATTGAGTCAAAATCTTGTAATGGAGACTAGGGAATTTTTAGCTTTTGGTCACTGCCTAGGTACCAGTTTGTCTATGAGAGAGTGCTCACCCTGCTCCTTAATAAATAGTAGGTATGATCTGGATCAAAACTACTAATAGAATAAATGTTTCAAATCTCATTTTGGGGGGATCCCAGTTTAACCAGAGACCTGAACTGCAGTACTGAGTGACAAAAATCTAACATCCATAATCTCTATTACTCCAAGATTTTGCAATTATGTTCATTTTACAATTATGCATTTCCTTTATGGGAAAGCTGTGCATAATGGAAATTTGCCGTATAATATGCAAAACAACATTTGAGATATTCAGTTCCAGTGTATTATATTGCAATTTTGCCTGTGGATTTTAAAATATATTAGTATCCTATCCTTAAATAACAAGAATTATTAGAAAGGCAGAACAATAATAAAATAATTATTATTTGTCCATATCACAAGAAGGAAAGTAATAATGTTGAAGCAGTGGATCTTTTCTGTTTATGTACAATTTAATTGATGTGCATGTATAAAAAATATATATTTCAGTTGTGAGAAGATTCTGGAAAAAACATCATTTGGTTACCAGGCAAATCTAGTTTTTTAAGATAATTGTCATTCATATGTAATATAAAATAAGTATATATAGATATATATTTTAAAAATATAAACTATGATATTACCAAAGATGAACTGTTTTAAGTTTCTTGACTTCAATATAAAGGTATTGCATATTTACAACCAGGGGTGGGATTCTACCAGTTCGCACCTATTCAGTAGAACCGGTTATTAACATTCTAAGCAGTTCGGAGAACTAGTTGTTAGAAGAAATTGCTGGCCTAATCCTGTAAGGAAGGCAGGTAGGAAACATTTTGGTGTTGCTTACAGAAACTGCCTCTCTGTTAACCCTTATTACATTCTTGGCAGGACTAGACTTCCTGTCTCAGGAACATCTCTGGAGTTTTTTCCCCCCTCCTTTGCTGGTACTTTGCTTGTGTGGAGTGCCCATTCAAAGTTACAGTGGCACTGAAAAAAGTGACTTATGACCCTTTTTCACACTTACGACTGTTGCAGCATCCCCACAGTCATGAGAAGCCAGGGGAGGAGATGGTGCCTCGATGTGAGTGATATTGAGTTAGCCACACCCAGCCAGTCACATGACCACCAAGCCACGCCTAACAACTTAGCCACACTCACAGAACCGGTTGTTAAAAAATTTGAATCCCACCCCTGTTTACAACTCACCCATGGATATCAAGGTCCTTTGATAGAACTGTAGCTGATAATGAGAGTTATTTCCTTCTGTTTGCCTGCTAATTTGGAATATTTATTACAATACAGGTATAGTGAAGTGAAATCTGCAGAAACAAAGCTGGTTTTGTATGCACAAATGTCCTTATATGTATAGAAAAAGGTAAAGGGCTCAGGCCCTATATGTATAGAAAAATCAACTTTTATTTTACTATGTATTGATTTTTAAAAATTATAAGCATCTCTTTTCACAATTTGTGACTCTGAATGGCATACAACAATGATAAAAAGAAAATCAAGATCTAAAAAGGGAAAAGTGAAAACAACATAAGAAAGCAAATACAGGTAGTCCTCGACTTACGAATACAATTGAGCCCAAAATGAACATTTTACATTTGTTGTTAATTAATCACTTACAAGTGCTTAGCATTAAATGCATTATAGCCCCATAACATATGGACGTCTTATAACATATAAACCATCCTCATATGAACATGTCTGTTCCTGTGAATCTTTCCATATGTGGCTAGTCCTATCACTAAGGACAATGAAAAGCTGGCTTGTTGTTCTAAATAAGGCTCCTGTCCTCAGCTGATAGAGAGGGCTGTTTTGTTGCTGATAGTGAAGTACACAAGTTTTTATGCATCCTCATCTCTTTTATTTACGGGTTCTGTGGTATTTTAAATCATAGGTCTAGACTCCTTTTCCAAGCCGTGGAATAGTCAGTTCTTCATTTTTCCAGGAGTGCCATCTATTTGTAGGATGTCAGTAGGCTTAACTTTCAGCAAGAGAAAAACCCTTATACTTTTTCCCTTCTGAATTCTGTATAGGTATTTGCCAGATAAATGTTTGCTAAATATTTGCCAGTGCTCAAAAGAAATATGTTTTAAAACTATCCAAACCTTGTACAAACCTTGGGCGGAAAATCCATAATAGATCCAGAAATATCTGTTTGAACAAAAGAGTGACAATTGAGTAAAATTGAAGGAGGAAATAGAGATTGGTTTGTCTCAGATCAAAAGGTCTATGTAATTCTTGTATCATGTCTTCTTTAAAGGAATTCTGAGCTGCATTTTATTATTCATTTTATTCATTAAAAAAGTGACCCCAGTATTGTGAATTTTAGCATGAGATAGTCTCAATAAAATAATTCAACATAATTGAAAATAATTTAATTAATTTTAAAAATACCAAATAGTTACCATCATTATAATGTTATCATTTTTAATAAAAAGTCAAAATACTAAAAGCAGCACTCAGGAATGATTGACCTCAATTCAAAACTTGATTATTTAGATAATGTCAATTATTCAGTCAAAGGGAAGAACATTCATTGCTCAGGTACTACATATTCCAAACCATTTAGGATTTTAAATGTCTTGAACAAAGGCCTGATGGTTTCTTTCAAGCTAGTGTTAAATGGATTTCAGAATGGATTTCACTGCTGCATTCTATCCTTGGGAGTTATAGAAATCCCGTAAGTTCAGAACAAGTCATAAAAGTTTGTCCAGAATTCAATATACCTTTCCTAACATCCAGTTCCAATAACTCAGAGCAACATAACATTTGACTCACCAAGCCAAATGCAGCCCACCATCTGTATTTTTGGCTTACTGGAATTTGACAACAATTTTCTTTTGTAAACTAAGGAAAATAAGGATTTCATATTTTTTGTTCAGCTTTGTAAGTCCCAAGCTAACCAACTGAAGAAAACAGTATTCTATTAGAAATCATTTGTATATTGTTCTTCAAAGATAGTTTCCAAAGTTTATGTAACAAATCTATCAAGTTAGAATTCTGTAGGTATCTGAAAAAGAATACTGGATAAAGCCCTTAGTAGTTTAAAGAAGGTGTAGGGAGCCTGATCTGAACTGTGTTTCTGAAAAGAGGCTACCTGTGTTATTGAATGAGTTCATTCTTGAACTCATAAATGCTGAGAATACCAGATTATTATTTTTTTTGCCAAAGAGCCAGCAGATGTCCATCCAGACTCTAGAGAACTCAGACCTCTAGCCTTATGCTCCAAGGCCAGAGCTAGGCTTTATTTCTGCCTCACTACCTTGGGCATGCTTCTCCCTGGTGTTTGTGACCACTTTGCAACTTTATTCTTTGGAACTTTACATGTTGAAACAGAAGGGCAAGCAGCTTCCCACTATTGGTTGCGTATCTGTGGAGTCAAGCCATCTGTCAGTAAAACAGAAAAACCTAAGTTCCTTTTCTCTCCAGAGTTCAGTTTGCTATTTTGGGGAGGGCTTCCATTCCCCATGTGGAAGAAAGCTAGTGTGGTTTGATGCAAAGATGGTTGAAAAAGAGAAGGCCAAAAGACTGAAGCTGCTGTTTTGCCCATCTGCCACTGCTTGAGGTGTATTCATTATTAATGGAGGTAGTAGCGTTGCTGTTCAGATATGCAGGCTTGCCTGGGTAAATGAGACATTCTTCAGCAAATTGCTTCGGTTTTTGATTGCTGATTGTACGCGTGTCACCAAGCTGACTCAAGGTTCATCGATGCATGCTCAGTAAATTAGAAAGAACATAACTATGGATCAGCCAAGAGAATGAATTCTTTGCCTACAATGACCCAGGGCCATTTAATTTTCTGCTTAATTTTGTTGCAGTCAGTTTGCATTTTGGGTTATTATGCAGTAGGAAATTAACAATAAATAACAAATTTGGTCCTCCTGTGCTTGTAATGATATTTTTATAAATCTTTGTAATGCTCTTTTTAAAAGGATCAAGGTCTGCACCAGGCTGATACCCCACAAATATGCAGGATTGGAAAGAAAAGGGGGGTGGGCATTAGTCCTGGCAGATAATCTCATAGTTAAATAGCAACTCCCTTTTCTTTCTTTTCTCTCAGCTTTCTCCTATGATTTTATATTTCACATTAAGCTTAAGGTATTTCTTTTTTCTTTTTTTTTTCCAGATAATTTAAGGAAAATGGAAACAGATGAGGCTCAAGATATGTCCCAAGTTTCTGGTGAGATGGGATATATATAAAGAACATGACTAAAAAAAATGTGGGGAATCTTCCACCCAACTTCAAATTTGTTTGGTTCTCTACAAGACCATAGCTGTTATTGTCAGGATAGGTGCTTCAATATTTTGTAATGACTATTTGCAGATCAGGATATCATTAATGTTTAGCATTTCATATCAAACCCAATAATGGTTTTTTTTAAAAAAAAAATGAGGGGGGAATTGAAAAATGAGAAGTATACCTGTTGGTATGGATAGATCTTCCTTTCTCTCACAGAGCAAGGAGCTGATGTGACTCGTATGTTACTTTTTAAATTCAAAACTAGACAGATTATACGTTTCTTTAAATATGAAACACAGAAAATATAAACTGGAGAAACAATTCTTATTTTATTTGTCAAGTACTATCTATCAATATTTTTCTAAACGTAATGACCTTTTGTTTTATAATTAGTCTAAGACTTGATTAGATTTCCTTGCTTAGATTTCCTTAGATTTGAATTTTCATTTTTATGTAGTGAAATTGGCTTACACAATTTTTTGTGTGAAAGTGATTTGTTACATTTGGAAACAATTGTAAGGGGAGACACTTGAAGGGGCATTACTGTATGAGGAGAGAGAAAATAACATGCGAATTGGAAATCTACTAAAGACCTGGGTATTTCATAGTCCATTAGAGCTGGAATTTTAATCCTTCTAGATACGTCTACAATATATATCTCTAAAGACTATATAAAACATTTAAGAGATAGTCATTAAATTGTACATATTAAAGAATAAATAATACCCTTATCTAAATGCAGTAGACAAAAGACAAAATTAAGATTTTTATTGTAGCTGAGTAACCAATACAGAACAGAATCATAGAATTTTAGAAACGCAGAATCATATTGCTGGAAGGGATCTTTATATAATCCTGGAAATAATTGTCCAGCATTTATTGAAAACCTCCAGTGGTGGAGCACCCACAATTCCATGAGGCAAGCTGTTCCACTGGTTAAATGTTCTCTCTGTCAGGAAAATGCCTCTTTAGTTCTAGGTTGGATTTCTCTTTGATAATCTTCCATCCCTACTTCTTATCCTATCTTCAAATGCTATGGAGAATAAATTGACCCCTTCTTCCCTATGACAGCCCTTCAAGTATTAGAAGATGGCTAACATGTCACATATAAAACTTCTCTTTTTTAGGCTAAACATACCTACTTCTAGTAGCCATTGCCTCTTGCGATTTAGACTCCAGATCACTTATCATCTTTGCTGCTCTTCTCTGCATACTTTGTAGGATCTTAGCATCTATTTGTATTGGGATGACCAGAACTGGATGCAGTATTCCAAGTACTATCACTTCTTGTGAACATGATACTATCCCTCTGTTAATGCAGTCTAGGACAGTATTGGATTTTTGACAACTGCAGCACACTGTTGATTCATACTTAAATAATAGTCCACCAGGACTCTCACAGGCACTGCTCTAGAGCCCGACACTGCCTATTCTGTACCTTTTCTTGTTTTTCCTGCCTAAATTACTAGACAATCACTTGTATGAAATGGTATAGGGTCTCCCGCTTGAGCGGGAGGATTGGACTAGAAGAGCAAAGTCCCTTCCAGCTCTATTCTGCTTGATATTTATACCACCAAACTGCATCTTATTGCATGGAGTTCAGTGCTCAAGTCTGTCAATATCCTTCTGAATCTTGAGTATATCTTCCAAAGTGTTGGCAATTCCATCCAATTTGGTATTATCAATAAATCTGATAGTGCCCCTTCAATATCCTCATCTAGGTCATTTATGAAGATATTGAGTAACAGAATAACAGAGTTGGAAGGGACCTTGGAGATCTTCTAGTCGAACCCACTGGTCCAGCAGGAAGCCTAATATCATTTCAGACAAACCTGCTGTCCAATCTCTTCTTAAAAACTTCCAGTGTTGGAAAATTCACAACTTCTGGAAGCAAGTTGTTCCACTGATTAATTGTTCTAATTGTCAAAAAATTATCTTTAATTCTAGGTTGGTTCTCTCCTTTATTAGCTTCCATTGTTTCTTGTCCTGCATTTAGGTATTTTGGAAAATAAGTTGACTCCCTCTTCTTTGTGGCATCCCCTATTACAACATTGCTATCCTATCACCCCTAATTCTTCTTTTCATTAAATTAGACATACTCAATTCCTGCAACCATTTTTTATATGTTTTAGCCTCCAGTCCCCTAGTCTTCTTTATTACTCTTCTCTGCATTTTTTTCTAGAGTCTCAACATCTTTTTTATGTTGTGACCAAAATTGTATGCACTGTTCCAAGCGTGGTCTTACCAAGGCATTACAAAGTAGCATTAATATTTCACATGATCTTGATTCTATCCCTGTTGGACTGCTTTGGCTTTTTTGGTAGCTGCTGCACATTGCTGGCTTATTTATGTAATAGTCCACTAAGACTCCAAAATCCCTCCCACAGTTACTACTATTGAGCCAGCTATAACCTATTCTATATGTGTGTATTTGGTTTTTCTTGCCTAAAGGTAGAATTATACTGGGCCCAAGATGAAACCTTGAGGTACTCCACTGCATTCGTCCCTCCACCAGATCTGCATCATTGAAGTGGCTAGTCAGCCAACTGCATAACAGCATAACATTATAACAGGACAGAGTATAATCTTAAGAATGTCAGCAAGTATTACTGGTCTTCTCTTTATGTTAGACACTCTTAGGTTCTTTATTGTTTAGGCTTTTTAATAAGGTTGTTTCTGAAGTGTTGAAACCCCCAAATCACTCTTTAAGCTCAGATTGCATTTTGGAAAAAAATGAATCCTTAAAAGCAAGTGATATGTCAATTGTATACGACTTTTCAGATTGTGTTTTTTTCGAACGGTGTGATAGATATGATTTTTCTGAGTAAGATCTGTGTAGTTTGTACAAATCTATAGTAGGACAGTTAAGATTCTTCTTGCCACAGTTCATGGATCAGCATTTAGGATGCTTTTTAACTGTGCTCCCAGCCACTGTGATCCCAGGTTGTCAATGCTATTGTGCGATAGAGCCTGTTTACTTCCAGTTTAGCTGTATGAGTCAAAATGAGTTATTTGAGACAGTTTTGTCTTGTGGTTAGGGTACCTGGAGAGAAAGTGAGAGACCATGAGTTCTAGTCCCTCCTTAATCATGAAAGCCAGCTGGCTGACCTTGGGCCAGTCACTGTCTCTCCAGCCTAACATGCTTCACAAAGTTGTGAAGAAAAATAGAAGGATTATTAAGTATCTTCACTGTATTAAGATGTTTATTGAAAAATAATAAATGTGTGATAGAAATTAAATACATACATACATTCATACATACTTTTCCATATTTCAATCTGTGACAATGGAATTGTGCAACTTGAGGTAGATTGCTTTCCTTGCTGCAGAAACTCCTGCCTTACCCCATTCCTCAATACTTTAGTATGCCCTGACCAGAATGCTACTGTGGCACTTTCCATTGCTGGGCTGATCTCCCTTTCATGAACTCCTTGGTACCTTCAATGAAAGCAATCATAAGTCATTGTTCAATAGTTCTTAAAGTCTCCTGAAATTTGTGGGAAAGTAGCCATGGCTGTGTTAAATTGCTTTTAATTTCTCCAATATAAATTATACCCACTTGCTAACTTTCTGCCCATGATATCACCTAGATCTGGCCTAGACTTGTATTTCTAATCTAAGCTACAAAATTACGTTTGAGTTCTGTTCACTTTGTGCTTACCATTCCATAGGCCTATATTAATATAAAATGTAATGGGGACAGAATAGTTTGAAGAGTGAACCTAAAGAATTTTAAAATCTTGTATTTATATCTAAGTGGAAAATTCAGCTAAAACCAAATTGAGGAGGAAATGAAATTCAATTTTTGCAGTATCTCATATGTGTGGTTTCCTGTAAAAACACCTGCATCAGAAAGCAGGATAGGGCTTGGGTGGAGTAAAAATTAAGTTTTTAGCAAGTCTTTCGTAAGCCGGATGTTAGGAGAGGGACAAGTGACTTGTGACATCACTTATTTCATGCTAAGATTTGCCATTAAAAAATTGGAACAAATTAATAGAGAAAATTAGACCAAATTTAATTGAATTTCTATTTAACAAAGAAATATTTCTCTGAATTCCAACTGCATGGAACAGACACTAGGCCTGAGCACATACACAGTTTGTAAGCATCAGAGAAAGAACTTGTTACCAATGTTTAGCTTAGGTAGTCCTCGACTTACAACAGTTCATCTAGTTCAAAGTTACAATGGCACTGAAAAAAGTGACTTATAACAATTTTTCACACTTATGACCTTTGCAGCATCCCCATGGTCATGTGATTTACATTCAGAGGCTTGGCAACTGACTCAGATTTATGATGGTTGCAGTGTCCCAGAGTCATGTAGTCTCCTTTTGCAACCTTCTGACAAGCAAAGTCAATGGGGAAGCCAGATTCACTTAACAACTGTGTGACTTAATTTAAGAATTGCAATGATTCACTTAAGAAATAAGGTGAGAAAAGTTGTAAAATGGAGCAAATTCACTTAACAAGTTTCTCACTTAACAACATACATTTTGGGTTCAATTGTGGTCATAAGTTGAAGACTACCTGTACTGGATATTCAGCATGAAATAATATAAAGTGTATATTTTTACAATACTGAATGCTGGCTAAAAACAGCACCACTGCACTAATCCATTATGGCCTTGTTCTTTACGGGATTGGTGAGTGCTTCAGCTCACAACTTGGAAAAGGTAATGCACCTTGCCCACAGGAAGACATGGTCTGAAATCCTTATGGAATTACTGATTATTTTAAGCAGACAGAGAATAAAACTGCTTTCTTTATTAATATAACCTTGTATATTTTGGGCAGTATAGTAGATCCTGTTTTTCCAGAGGGGGTGGGGAAAAGATAATGAATGTTACCAATTATCTCCTGCAAAAATTATGGTGAAGTTTAACATTGTAAGTAGGCTAGTCAGCCCCATTAGGTAAACCTGCCTAGGAAAACCACAAGAA